CGGGGGGGAGGGGGGGCTGGATGAGAGGAGGGCAGCCCGGCATGGACGGAAGAGGGTCCGGAGGGTGGGGCTGGAAGGCCTGAGGACCCAGCAGGAAGCCAGTTGTAAGTGGCTCCTGCAAATGCCTCCAGCTTTGTGACTTCAACACTGAACTGCTCCGAATCTCCCTGTCTCATTTCTCTCTGAGATGCTGCTCCTCTGTCTCTCTCTGGATCTTTGTTTCTATTTACCTCTGTCTTTCTGGGTCTCTGGGTTCCTCTGCCTCTCCTGGATGTCTCCGCATCTGGTTCTGGGTCTCTTCCCAGGGGAGCTGTTCCGTTGGAAGGCTTCAAACCTAGACGGCCCAGGCTGCGACCTGGGGAACAGGTCCTCAGAGGACCCCAGGCCCTCCCCTGATGGCCTCACAAGCTCCCAGCTCTATGTCTGGGCCACGGATCACGCTGAGAGTTGGGAGGTAGACCCTGCTTGTGCTCCCCCTAACCGCAGTTCAAACCAAGGTAAGATGCTAGGGAAATGCCAGCAAGTGAGGGGGCCAGGGATGGAGGATGGTGATTGGGAACTGGAGGGCTGGTTTGTGGGGGAGGAGACTCAAAGGCCTACACTAGCCCTGGCTCTCCTTGCCCCAGACCTCACAGTGAACCCTGGCTCTACACTCTGTCTGCCCTGTGGGGTGCCTTCTGCTTCCGAGGCCAGAGGACCCATCTCCTGGATCCACGTGCACCCCAGAAAGCCCAACATCTCATTGCTGAGCCTCAACCTGAGTGAGGAGGCTCCCGTCAGAGAGATGTGGGTCCCGGGCACCCTCAGGGGAGGGGCCGCTCTGTGGCTGCGTCAGGCCACAGCTCGAGATGCTGGCACCTATCATTGTTACCATGGCAACACGACCATCGAGATGCAGCTGAGAGTCACTGCCCAGTCAGGTAGGGGTCCTCCCAATTGTGGAGCCACTTACAACTGGCTTCCTGCTGGGTCCTCAGCCTGTGTGCAGGGCTATTGGGGAGAACTGGAAGCCAGCCCACCTTGGCTCCTCTTGGCTGGTGCAACCTGCGCCCGAGACCCAACCACTACCCTGAACACTGACGCCACCTCCTTGCTCCTTGCTTCCAAGATACTGCTGTTCGGGGTCTCCTCCTCCCACCGGCTGCTCCTCCCGTCAGCTTTGGTAGAGCCTTCCTCCCCCGCTCCCCACCATGGGAGCCCTGAGCCCTCTTCTTATTCCTGTTCACACTCTCTCGTTCTTGTCTACACTCTTCCTAGTGGATCTCCTTTACTCCCTTGGCTCCTTGGACCACCATGCCTTGGTGACTGGCTTCTAGGCTCCATACCCCTACCCCCAGCCACCTCCTGGGGTTGCCGTTGGATGTCCCGTGGACGCTGTAGCTCCACATGTACAAAAAAAATGAAACGCAATGTGTTCCCCACACAGAGTCTTCTGGGCGCCCCTGTGGAAGTGAAGCACATTACACCTTGCCCACATGCCAAAACCAGGAGTCTGGGCATCCTTCCTTTGCCTTACCCCACCCATCAAGTTTGTCACGGTGTTCTGCCCGTTTTCCTCCCTAATACAATCCGACCGTGCTACCCTAAACAGTTCTCAAACTCCGTCTCGACTCCCACTCCAAACGTACCCCGGCACCTTGCTGCCTCCCACCTTCAACTTTGTGAACTCAACTCTGCCCTCCACCTTGAGTGTGGCGGTCCTTCCCTGCAGCAGGAAGCTGGTCCTCATCACCTGATCCTCACATTTCAGGGTTTGCTTCTGAGATACTCACTAGACACTGGGCCAGGCTCTGAGGCACAGCCCCGGCTTCAGAGAGAAGGAGGGGAGCCCTCCTTGTCGCATGGGACCTCAGGGTCGGTGTCCTGCCCCGTCCCCCGGGTTTATGGCCTTTTGAGGTCCTGAGACTGGGCAGTAAGATGCCAGCCCTGGTCCTGGTCTCATAGCCCCTCCCCCCCAGCTATACGGCAGTGGTTGCTGGAGGCTGGTGGCTGGAGAGTCCCTGTCACGACACTGGTTTACCTGATCTTCTGCATGGGGTTGGTGGCGAGCTTTCTCTATCTGCGAAGAGGTGAGTCATGTACACCGTCTCCCTCAGGAGAGCCACACTGGCCAGTCTTACACCGTCTCCTCCTCCCCCACAGACTACAATCCTGCCCCCCATCCTCCTCTAAGTGCCCTCCAGACTTCCTCAGCCCCTTGGAATTTGAACTCCCAGCTCCTCCCTTGGCCCAAGTGCCCTAGCCAGCACCCCCAAAATCTTCACCCAGCCAAGGAGCTCTCCTCTGATCATTCCATTCACTCCCACCAGCCCTGACCCGGAGGAGGAAAAGGCAGCGAATGACTGATCCCACCAGGAGGTAATGACCAGGTACCCCCCGCCCCCCCCCTGTATCCGGCTCCTGCACTTTCACTCAGTGCTTTGCTTGCTGTTTCCTCTGCGGAGGGCGCCTTTATCTCTGTGGTGGAAACGCTGCCAACTTTCCAACCCCAGCTCCAAAACTACCTCTTTTGTGAGGTGAACCCAGAGCCCTCTGTGCGGGCTGCAGTGACCCCAGAGCCCGCTCTCAGGCTGCAGTGACCCCAGAGCCCTCTCTCAGGCTGCAGTGCCCCCAGAGCCCGCTCTGTGGGCTGCAGTGACCACAGTGCCCGCTCTCAGGCTGCAGTGACCCCAGAGCCCTCTCTCAGGCTGCAGTGCCCCCAGAGCCCGCTCTGTGGGCTGCAGTGACCACAGTGCCCGCTCTCAGGCTGCAGTGACCCCAGAGCCCTCTCTCAGGCTGCAGTGCCCCCAGAGCCCTCTCTCAGGCTGCAGTGACCCAGAGCCCTCTGTGCGGGCTGCAGTGACCCCAGAGCCCGCTCTCAGGCTGCAGTGACCCAGAGCCCTCTCTCAGGCTGCAGTGACACCAGAGCCCTCTTTCAGGCTGCAGTGACCCAGGGCCCGCTCTCAGGCCGCAGTG